TTAACGTTAGCAAGTTTTAACTAGAGATACTATGGGACAGTCTATGGGAGGGTCAGAGAGCTCTCAGATTCCTTCAAAAATATCTTAATTTGTGTTCCGAAGATGAACGGAGGTCTTACGGGTTTGGAACGACATGAGGGTAAGTAAATAATGACAGAATTTTCTTTTTTGGGTGAACTCTCCCTTTAACGTTACGTGAAAACTGTAACTTAATGAGAGTATATGACAACCAGAAAATTAAGGTTTTTATCTTCATTGGGATTGGGGTTGAATGCTTAGGGACATTTACGCTCTGTTTTGGTTGGATTTATGAAATGTAATAAAATAAATTATATTGCCTATCCTCTCAGGATACCTGAAATCAGTGTTACAAGTACCCCAGGCACATTGTTTTTTCCATTTTTGTAGCATAAACACCATCAAACTGATGAAAGCTTCGGCTCTTCCAATGATTCTCTATGGCCTGGTTTTAAAATTTGTGAGGTAAAATAAACATTTGCTCGTGTTTTATAAATTTTATAACATTATCATATAATGCTATGCGTAATCTGTGCTGTCACACCCAGAGGTGCCTCACTAAATGGGTATGCATGCGATGAATACTATGAGCATGTAATTGTTGAAAACTAATACTATGGCATAACCTGCTCTGGAGCAGGTTTTGTTCAGACAGTAAGTTATGGCTACATAACCTGAAAGTTACCTCAGTTTTTAAAAATGAAAGTCAAGGTTATCCTTTTACTTATCTGTAAATGTACCTAAGTATGTTACACAAGCTGTTATACAAGCTGTTTTCTTTGTACTATCTTTTGCATTCAAATGCAAATGTTTATTTTAAATTTGACTAATATTCATTCTTTACTCACAATCTCATCACAGGAAGGCACAGCACTCATGTTCGTGTTTGTGTGTGCTGTCTGCGTCACTCATAGCACGTGCCTATATCATGCACTATATCGAACATTTTTATATCGTTATCAAAGAAGGTGTACCGTCGATAAATATCGATACCGTTTTATCGCCCAGGCCTACGTTCACCATCACCTTCCTCGTGTCATCACCAATTGCCTCAAGTTTAAGGGAAAACATTTTAAATGTTGTGCCTGTTGACAGCACAAGTAGAAGTTCAGCTGAAGAAGTTTTTAATAGTTTTAATAATCCATTCTCTGATTTTAATACCGATACAAAATTGAGAAAATATTTCAGTGAGAAATGGGGGGTTGTTGAACCTATTGAAATACACTTAGGTGTCAGATACGATGCAAGAAGAAATAAAATCTCTGGAATGTCTGAACAGACAGCAGTTAATGACACTTTCATATATATCCCTCTTCTGAAGACTCCTGAGTTCATTTTTAGGAATTATAAAGTGTGTAATCTTATCCAAGAGGAACGGCAAAGTGACATGTATCGAGATTTTTGTGATGGACAGTATTACAAAAAACATCCTTCTAGTGTTGTCAGAAGACCCGGTATTTCGGTACCAAGTCGGTACTAAAAAAATGAAAATGTTACGGTACCAGGTTTTCTTAAGTACCGGTGGTACCGAGTACCCGGTCAACCCGGTTCTTGATGCGCTATCA